AACATTGCCTGCAGTCTCATTTCAGAGTATATTACATGCCTCTATAACTGACCCTGGAGGTGACACGGATTAAAGTGGCTCGTGTTGTCATTCTTCCTTTATCACTTATGCCCCATAAAAGAAGCCAGTCACTGGAGTATAACAGCTTCCATATCATTACCGTCATTCAGTTTGAGTTACGCCTTCTAATTTAACGTGAGTTACTATTGTTCCTTAGATTGTGGGAGGATACCCTCATGGTTTTCACTACTGATAATGGAGGATGGCATAATCATGGTGGATTCAACTGGCCGCTTCGAGGGGAGAAGACAACGTTATGGGAGGGAGGGGTTAGAGGGGTAAGCTTTGTCCATGGAAACATGCTTGGCAGAAGAGGAGTGAAATGTGAAGGTCTCATTCATGTTACAGACTGGTTTCCAACATTGGTCAATATTGCAGGTAAACACATGCTTAAAAATTAGCAAAACGTTGAACAGAGAGATAAATCACTGAAGAAATATCAAACAATTGTAGCATTGATCATAAGATTGACCGGCGCTCGCGTGATGCGTTGCTGCTTGTTTGGTGTTTTTGTTTAAAGCTGTATTATTATCGTAAATTTTCAACGTTTTTGTTCTCTATTCCAACAGGTGGTACTCTTGATCAAGCTGCACCAACTCCGCTGGATGGTATGAATGTGTGGAATACCATTTCCAATGGCGATCCCTCACCCAGAAAGGAAATACTGATCAATATTGATGTGGAGCCTCGAACGGAAAATGCTTTTAAAGAAGGCGGGTCGATTGACATCTACGAAGGGATAGCTCTGAGGGTTGGCGACATGAAACTTCTTTTGAGTGTACCTAATGCCTCTTGGTATAAACCCCCAGAGCTCGGTGGAGATTCAAGTATGAGGCAGTACACACCCCCTGACACAAACGGCAGGCTTGGCTGGTTTCAAGGTGGAGAAAAGGTATTGAGAAGTAAAGACCGATATTTTTCTGTAAGTCAGGCATCTTAGAACCCGCCGTATCCTCCTCACAAGTTAATTTTGACTGACACAAGAAAGGAGTAGTCAAGAGGTGATTACCACAGGTACAAGAACTACCCTTGTGGAAAACCTTGTGCATAAACATAAAACTTATTAATAAGAATTTATTTGACGTGGAGGGAAAATGACCCACTACAAAGTATGTCGAAGTTATAGCGTAGAGAGAAGGAAAGAAATAAAAATAATTCACCTGACACTAATATCAGATGTGCCGTCGTAAAGATTTAATCAGTAAATTAACTCGGTTATATCAGGAGCCGATTACTCCTAGTTATATACAAGCCCCCAAAAGTTGGACAATTCTATCCACAGTACAAATCTCTATCCACTGGATAGTGCAATTGGTTTCCGTAGTAGTACTTGTCTGTTGTAAAGTGATTTATCCGTTGGGTAGCGTTATCCAGTGTTTTAACAGTCGGGACAAGAAATTCAAACATATATATTACCCCTTGGCTGATGGCGCGGGTGACTCGAACATTAATTTAAGTTTGTCAGTTCATGGAAAAAGTTCGATTTACTCAACAGACCACAGGAGACACTGTGCAAGTTGCCCTTTACAACATAACCGCTGACCCAACGGAACACGACGACCTTAGCGAGAAACTTCCAGACGTGGTGAAGGAAATGAAAGAAAGAGTGCAGTATTACATGAAGGGGGTCGTGTCTCCACCCACCAAAATGTTTGATCCTAAAGCTATTGTAAAAGCATTGGAGGAAGGTATTTGGACGCCTTGGCAAGAATAAACTTTTCTTGTACCCGAAACTCTGTCATGAATAAAATTCATTAAATGGTCTAGCTTGTTATAGGTTTTGTTTAGCGTCAAGAAGAATGTCGTACAAGGTTGATTGATTTTGTTTAATTTTCGATTTGTTAAATGTAGGAGGTAGCGTCTCAATATTTTTTTATTTTTAAGTGTTCATGACAACAGTGACCAGTGTGAAGGTTCAACAAACTTGCTTGGGTTACGTAGAAAGCTAGTTTCAGTTTCTGGTAAATTTTAACTCACACTGTATTTCATATCATGATCAGTCAACAATAAAAGATGCAAAGCTTTTCTTTCTTCCTCTTCTTAGTTTTCAAAACCTATTTCCATGCAGCGTATGTCCATGATAGACATTAGGGAGCTTAAGCAACAACGACGGTGACGTCTACGAAAACGTCACTCAAAAAATGAATTCGCGCTACTTCAAACTTTATCGCGCTTATTCCAACTCGTTCAATTCGTTAAGTTTTGGCAATTTTGTGTAGTTGTGTAGTTGAATTCTAAACCACTGTATCAAAGTTCAGGAAAAGAAAAAGAAAGTCGTTGTCTTCGTTCACGTCCTCGACAAAACGTGAATATTGGCACTTTCATGTTGTAGTCGTGCAGCGACGGCAAAGAAATGTACAAAAAAACGTGCAAAGTTGTTGTTTTGCCAATCTAAACCTATTACTTTTGTGCCGTTCTCGTTGCCGCCGCCGTCGTCGTT